ATGAGTATAGATGATGAATGTTTGAATGTCATGAACTTGAAATTAGAACTTGAACTTGAACTTGAACTTGAACTTAGAATTTGAACTTAGAATTTGAACTTGAACTTAGAACTTGAACTTGAATTAGAACTTGAACTTGAACTTAGAACTTGAACTTAGAATTTGAAGTTGAACTTAGACTTGAACTTGAAATTAGAACTTGAACTTGAACTTGAACTTGAACTTAGAATTTGAACTTAGAATTTGAACTTGAACTTAGAACTTGAACTTGAATTAGAACTTGAACTTGAACTTAGAACTTGAACTTAGAATTTGAAGTTGAACTTAGACTTGAACTTGAAATTAGAACTTGAACTTGGAACTAATTAGCTTGAATATATAACTAATTAAATTTAGAAATTAGATATGAACTTGAATTGAAAACTTGAATATATATAACTAATATTCTTGGATTTTAAGTTTATATTTAACTAATTTTAGAACTTTTCGTGCTAGGCAACTGAGGAAGCTCAACATCTAAAAAAGTTGATACAAGACTATATTGCTTCTTTCATCAAAGTAGGAGATAAGGTTGGCGCTTCTAAATTTCTAAAGTTCAAGTACAATTGTTTTCAATAATGTGTTTGTGTCCATCTAGTATTGATACTTAGCTTTAATTTTGTGATAATTTGTTTTTGTCCATCAAACTATATTGCTTCTTTCATCAAAGTAGGAGATAAGGTTGGTGCTTCTAAATTTCTAAAGTTCAAGTACAATTGTTTTCAATAATGTGTTTGTGTCCATCTAGTATTGATACTTAGCTTTAATTTTGTGATAATTTTTTTGTGTCCATCGATTGTTTGTTAAGCATAAGTACCAACACTAGTTGATCCTATTGATGACAAAATTGATTTTCTTGCAAGATCGATTTGTGTCTATCTAGTGTTGATATTAAGCTTTAATTTAGAAAAAATGTGTTTGTTTAGCATAAGTACCAACACTAGTTGATCCTATTGATGACAAAATTGATTTTCTTGCAAGATCGATTTGTGTCCATCTAGGGTTGACACTTAGCTTTAAATTTAGAAATAATATATTTGTTAAGCATAAGTACCAACACTAGTTGATCCTATTGATGACAAAATTGATTTTCTTGCAAGATCGATTTGTATTCATCTAGTGTTGACACTTAGCTTTAAAAAGTTGTAAAGTTGTTAAAGTTAAAAAGTTGTTAAGTTGTTTAAAGAAGTTAAATTAAATAATGTGGGTTTGTTGATGGATTTAGTTGTTGGAATAAGTCAAAACTAAACTAGTTCAAGTTAAAAAGTTGTTAAGTTGTTTAAATAAGTTCAAATAAATAATGTGGTTTAGTTAGTGAATTTAGTTGTTGGAATTAAGTCAAAACTAAACCAGTTAAAGTAAAAAAGTTGTTAAGTTTTTAAATAAGTTAAAATAAATAATGTGGTTTAGTTGGCGGGTTTAGTTGTTGGTATTAAGTCAAAACTAAACTAGGTCAAGTAGTTAAGTTGTTTAAATAAGTTAAATTAAATAATGTGGCTTTGTTGATGGATTTAGTTGTTGGAATTAAGTCAAAACTAAACCAGTTAAAGTAAAAAAGTTGTTAAGTTTTTAAATAAGTTAAAATAAATAATGTGGTTTAGTTGGTGGGTTTAGTTGTTGGTATTAAGTCAAAACTAAACTAGGTCAAGTAGTTAAGTTGTTTAAATAAGTTAAATTAAATAATGTGGTTTAGTTAGTGAATTTAGCTGTTGGAATTAAGTCAATACTAAACTAGTTAAAGTTAACAAGTTAGTAAGTTAGTTTAAATAAAGTTAAAATAATAATGTGGTTTAGTTAGTGAATTTAGCTGTTGGAATTAAGTCAATACTAAACTAGTTAAAGTTGTTAAGTTGTTAAGTTGTTAAGTTGTTAAGTTGTTAAGTTGTGTAAATAAGTTCAAATAAATAATGTGATTTAGTTGGTGGATTTTAGTTGTTGTATTAAGTCGAAACTAAACTAGTTAAAGTTAACAAGTTAGTAAGTTAGTTTAAATAAAGTTAAAATAATAATGTGGTTTAGTTGGCGGATTTAGTTGTTGTATTAAGTCAAAACTAAACTAGTTAAAGTTGTTAAGTTGTTAAGTTGTTAAGTTGTTAAGTTGTTAAGTTGTTAAGTTGTTTTAGATAAATTAAAATAAATAATGTCGGTTTAGTTAGTGAATTTAGCTGTTGGAATTAAGTCAATACTAAACTAGTTAAAGTTAACAAGTTAGTAAGTTAGTTTAAATAAAGTTAAAATAATAATGTGGTTTAGTTGGCGGATTTAGTTGTTGTATTAAGTCGAAACTAAACTAGTTAAAGTTGTTAAGTTGTTTTAGATAAATTAAAATAAATAATGTGGTTTAGTTAGTGAATTTAGTTGTTGGAATTAAGTCAATACTAAACTAGTTAAAGTTAACAAGTTGTAAGTTGTTTAAATAAGTTAAAATAAATAATGTGGTTTAGTTGGTGGATTTAGTTGTTTTAATTAAGTCAAAACTAATTGAATATCTATATTTTTGTAGATGGATTATCATTTGTGGATGTATAATATGCATTATGAAAATGGTGTTGGTTTGAAACTTGAGTTTATTGATAGTGTTAGAGATTTTATTGAACATACAATGACACTTGACATTTTTCAAGAATAATGGATTGGTTAGGTGTCTGTGTAGTGCATGTAAGTGCTTAAAATTTTATAAACCAGATACAATTATGATTCATTTGTACCGTAATGGATTTAAGCCTAGATATTTTGTATGGATCGATCATGGAGAAATAGATGGATTGAATGGTATGTTTTATAATTTGATGTATGTGGATGAATATAATATGATTGCACCACATGGTCAAATTAAGGTTGAACATGATAGGGTTCATGAGATGATCAATGATGTTTCCGAGGTTCAAGGTGGGATGGAACCAGAACAATATTTTGATGAAGCTCCTAATGAAGAAGCAAGACGCTTCTATGATCAATTAGAAGAGTCTAGTCGTCCACTATGTGAAGGGAGTCCGCATTCTGCCTTGTCAGTTGCGGTCAGATTAATGAATATTAAATCGGTCGTCCACTATGTGAAGGGAGTCCGCATTCGGCCTTGTCAGTTGTGGTTAGATTAATGAATATTAAATCAGATTGGAATGTTCCTAATGCTGCTATGGACTCAATGGTTGATCTTTTGGGTGAACTAGTTAATCCGGAGATTAACATACCTAAGAACTTCTATCATGCAAAGCGTTTGGTTTCCAAATTAGGATTGACGTATGATAGAATTCATTGTTGTGTTAATGGCTGCATGTTGTTTTACAAGACTGATAGTGAATTAGAAAATTGTAAGTTTTGTGGACATGCTCGTTATAAAAGGACTCCGGCTGGAAAGATGGTCCAAGTTAAGGCGATGCATTATCTACCTCTCATTCCTAGGTTAAAGAGGTTGTATGCATCGATGAGGTCTGCTCCACATATGAGATGGCATCGTGAATATAGAAGGCCGCCAAGTGTCTTGTCTAATCCATCTGATAGTGAAGCATGGAAGCATTTTGATAATGTATATCCTGATTTTGCTAGTGAACCAAGAAATGTTAGATTGGGGTTGTGTGTAGATGGCTTCACACCATTCTCTAATTTTGCTTCGCCTCATTCATGTTGGCCGGTATTTCTTACTCCATATAATCTTCCTCCTGAAATGTGCATGACCAGTCCCTACATCTTTCTAAGTTGTGTTATTCCAGGTCCCCGTAATCTAAAAAGTTTGATTGATGTCTATACAACCATTGATAGATGAGCTCAAACAATTGTGGTTTGAAGGCGTTTTGACTTATGATATATCAACTAAGCAGAATTTCGTCATGCGTGCTTTTTAATGTGGACTATTAATGATTTTCCTACATACGGAATGTTGTCTGGTTGGATGACAACTGGAAAGCTAGCATGTTCGTATTGCATGGAAAATAGTAAGGCATTCACTTTAAAGCATGGCAGAAAAAATACATGGTTTGATTGTCATTGTCAGTTCTTGCCAATGGACCATGAGTTTAGAAAGATGAAAAATGCATTTAGGAAAAATAAGGTTGAAAATGACCCCCCACCTCCATTACTTACAGGGCATCAAATTTGGGAGAGAGTTTCTCAATTACCTAAAGTTACAGAAGCTTCACCTTCTAGACTTCCTGGATATGGTGTTGAACATAATTGGACCAAACAAAGCATATTTTGGGAGTTGTCGTATTGGAAGGACAATATGCTACGACATAATCTTGATGTGATGCACATTGAAAAATATTGTTTTGACAATTTGTTTAACAGAGTGATGTTAAGGGTAAGGCAAAAGACAATCCAAAAGCTAGAATGGACATAAAGGAATATTATAGGAGAAAAGTGTTAAAGCTGCAGGAATTACAGAATGGTAAAATAGTTAAGCCCAAAGCCAGCTTTTCATTCACATTGGATGAGAAACGTGAAATTATTGAGTGGGTTAAAAATTTGAGGATGCCGGAGGGCTATGCTTTGAATTTAGGAAAGCGGGCAGATATGAATGAAGGAAAATTGATAGGTATGAAAAGTCATGATTGTCATGTGTTCATGGAAACTGTAATTCCTATCGCTTTTAGCCATCTACCCAAAAGGATATGGAAACCAATCACAGAGATAAGCCTTTTTTTGAAAAAAATTTTGTTTTGGCAAGTTGTTGGAGAGTAGTTTAGATAGGATGGAGGAAAATATTCTTGTCACTACTACTAAGTTGGAGAAGATATTTCCATGTGGTTTCTTTGATGTGATGGAGCATCTTCCAATTCACCTTGTACAAGAGGCCCACCTCGGAGGTCCGGTTCAAACAAGATGGATGTATCCATTTGAGAGGTATCCATTTGAAACATTCACTAAGTTATTTATATTCACCAAGTCTTTTATTAAAATATATATATACATGTATACATGCAGAAAAATTGGCAGTTCAAAGCAAACGATTAAGCAAAGGGGAAGATATGGAAATGCAATCAGTTGTGACACATATTTTGCTTAATTGTCCAGAGATTCAATCATATGTCAAGTATGTTATTAAATTACATACTAATAAGTTATCATTACCTAACGAAATACTTGAATGTAAAATGATCAGCTTGTTCGTAAACACATGGGGTAATGAAGCTATCTATACAGAATTTTCCAAATGGCTGAGGAACTATGTAAGTGTGCAATCACTAAGTATTTAATATATAATATATTCATGTTATAGTAAAGTATATTACTTGAAATTACAATCACGTAGGTTTACGATGAATACTCAAGTGTCCAACATTTGCAATTACTGAAAGAAGTAGCACTTGGACCTGAATCTCAAGTACTGACAATGAATAAGTATTGTGTCAATGGTTTTAAGTTTCAAACTAAAGAAGTTTCTAGGAATAAGAAAACAAATAATAGCGGTGTCTATATACAAGGTGATGGTCGATGGTACTAGCCAAACTATTGAATATTATGGTGTCATTCATGAGATTATTGAAGTGAGGTATTCAAGTTGGCCTAAGAAGAAGATTGTATTGTTTCAATGTGAGTGGTTTGACCCATCACATAGAGGCACAAAGGTGGACCATTAACATAATAAAATTGAAGTTAAGCACACCATGAAATACAGAAGTTATGATCATTTTATCATTGCACAAAATACTAAACAAGTGTATTACGCTCCATATCTATTGCGTAGAGACAAAGCTGATTGGTGGGTTGTTATAAAAAGTAAGCATGTGGGAAGAATCGACAATGTCTTAGATGTGGCGTATCAAAATGATGTTGCAATTGTTCAACAAGTTGATATTGAATTGGAAACCACACTACAACATCCTCAACACATATTAGAAGAAGTATCTGATGATGAGATATTGAATGTCGAGGAAGAAATATCTGAGAATGAGGAAAATGAATCATTTGATGACGAAGAATGGGACGATAATGAAAATGAAACAACTGAGGAGAAAGAATGGGAGAATGATAGAATTGAAACAAGCGGGGAGGAATAATGTCGAATGAAATCTAGCTAGTATATATATGTAAGTGTATTTTGCTAATTTTATTTAATTTATGCTTTTTAATATATATTAGACATGTAAATTTGCATACAGATGTCATCAGGCGGTGACGGGGATAGACATCGCGAGCATCTTGGAGTTAGCCAGACTAAATAGGCTAAGAAGAAGAAGTCTAGGAGACCCATAGATCCTGAGGATATTGCAGGATCTATTTCTTCTGCGCCAGAGCGCATCAGCCATGATACTCATTTATTTGTTGTTCCGTTTGGTACAGCGGATCCTCAACAATATTATCCTAATTACTGTTTACCAGTTGGTGCTTCATCTACTTCATAGGCATTGCCTTCACGACGCTACGAGGACCTACCTCACAGGCTATTCATCGAGCACGACCCTTATCGGTAGGTACTCCATCTCCCACAAGTACATCTTCTCAGTTATCTGCCATGAGGATTGGAGATTCTAGTAGCGAGCAGTAAGATGTTATGGTCGGTACGCCTCCATTGACTCAGCATTTTGTGCATCCTGATGTATCACCCTCTTCTACAGCTACACCTAGTGCTACACCAGATGATACGATGCCTGCTCTAGCTCCTGGCCAGAAGGACAGACTTGGTAGAGTCATAATTGAGCCGGATGGATCATCGTAAGTTTGTTTTGTTATCTATTTGTTAGTTTATTTTATTTATTTCTTATACTTTAATATATTATTCATGAACTAACATATTTATTATGTGTTTTGCAGGTGGCATCCTGCAAAGATTGTTGTCCGGCTTTAAAAAGACTGTGTTAGAAGACTCTATACACAGGTTTATCACTCTTGGAGCAAGATTCCAAACAGTATATACTAGGCGATGTTTAATAACTTTAAGGTATATATTTTTTAATTAAGTTTAGTATACTTTACTTTTTTTACTATTGATCTAATTAACGTTATTCAATTTTTTTCAGATTATGTGTACTTGGGAGTCGAGGTACAATTTGGCATTGGGACCACATTTGAGAGGAAGGCATCCGCCAGACT